TATATATAAAAAATTTGTTGTGTACATTACAATTCCCTCTTCAAGTTAGTATATAAAATAATTCTTTTTTTCAAAAATGCTTGTTTTCTATATAATTAGTGATCTTTATATCTTATCTTCATTATACCCATATGAATGCGCGCGCACATGCATAAGCATAAATACATGTATATATTTGTTTTGGCTTTGTATAAACTCAAAAAGATGTGATATACATTTTTCGAGTGTAATGTGAAAATTACTGTTTTCTAGGTAATTATATTCTATATTTTCGTATCGATGACGTAATAAGCTCTATTTAGTTTCTCAACTCTGAAACTAAACCTGCTGCATAAGATTTGTACAGATCAAAATTATTATTTTTAGCTAATTGCTGGCCCAATTAGCCTTAACTACGAATCTGACTACATTCCTCAAAATTATTCTTATTAAGTATATAAACAATATGTACACCATTTTTGACATTCAAAAGTGTCTCACGTTTGAGAGGTATTATTTATTATTGTATTATATAATATAGACTTATGTTGTATACATATATTACATTGTGCATCTTACAAAATGATTGCATCTTCTAAATCGTTCAGATACAACAGATTTATATACGTACAATCTAATAATGTATAAACTACGCTCAACGCTGTTTTGATTTTATTTATACTTTCTAAATTATTAACCTTTTAAATGTCAATGATGTAGACCCGTGTTCACGGGTTGTGTGGAGAGTATGCGTGCATGCGAATGGAATTGTACGTAGGAGAACATGTTCTAGCAGAAAAAAATTAATCTATACAGTTATTTTTATAAATAAAATACACATGTGTACAAAAATATATTAAAAACATTTAATATTCGAGCTAGTGCTCATATATAAAACATTACAGACGCATTCTAATTGTAAGAATGCAACTACTAGTATCAATAGCGTCTACGTTTTTTTTCTTATAGATCTCTAAAATATATCTGCTATAAGAACTATAGTTAAAGAATGAATTTTAAAATATCTAGAATATAACTGATGAAATTGAATTGGATTGTAATGATACTGTTAGTTCAATCGCAGGTGGTGATTATTGTAGCCATCTATAAAGTTTTTACACTGTTTTGCGGGGATAAGGGTCTTGCTACCGTTAAATCTAAACGCGGCCCGGCTGCTGCAATTAGCGGAACAGCCAAACAACAATCGCAGTCTTCCGTACTAGTTTCATTCACTTGAAGAATCCTGTCGTATGGCCGCAAAATGCCATCACATGGTCCGCCAGGACGCAAACGATTTATGTAAACGCCACGTTCATAAAGACCATCTGACACCGAGAATCCAAAATCTTCATAGACTGGATCCTTATGAAGCGACACATGTACTATTTGTTGGGATCGGTTGTTGGAAATCTGTTGTTCTTGTGCCCTGAATTTTATGAAAAAAAGAGAAAACATTACACAAATGCATAATCGCTGTCGAAAAAATCTGAAGTGTGGCTAATTAATTTTGATACCCTGGATAAGGTGGTATTGATAAATCTAATTGACCACTATCCGTAGAAGCAGTATCCCAAAGTCTCAATATTTCCGGCATGGTACCACTACTGTTTGCCAGTTCGCCCCAAGAATCCACCGCGCTATCCACACTGGGAAGACTCTCTCTGCCCGAACGTAATGCACCATTCGGAAATTGCGCCTGAACTGTATCGCTTCCTATACTGGGCTCTCTACAATAATCCCTGCAAAAATCTTCCTTCAAACCTCTTTGTACCAAGATTTTTTGCAATCCTTTGAAATTCAAAACTTTTGATTTGATCTTTATTTTCTACTATCAGTATTTGATAACAGATTGAAATAGATAATTTTTTTCATCGCAGACCGTTGAGTATTTAAGATTTTTTATTTATATTTACAATAAAATTAAATGTATATATTAAACTTTTAAACTATTAAAAGAATTCTGCTATGAATTAAATTAAGTAAATCGAACGTTCATCTTTATAAAAAATAAAAATTTTTACCGTAGTTTATTATTACTTTGTTCTTTTTATTTCGTTTGTACTCAAAATGTCGGCGATTACAAGATATTTCAATTTTATTAACATCATTTGAAAAATTAGCATTTTAGAGCCAATTATTTATACTTTTTATACTTCTTTCAATTTCATTTATATCTTAAAACTACGGGGGAAGTAAAATTATCCGCAATATAGCTGTAAATTTTGTGTAAGTAAAACTAGAATACTTAAAATAATATCATTTTTCACCATAGTTTCGTTGCTTTTTAATACCTATTTAACAGTTACATAAGTTTCTTTATATCCTTAGAAAAACACATTTTTTTACTGAATAGCGAGCCACGCTTGCACCGCGTTCTTCAGTTCTTGTTCTGAGATGAATCTACGACTTTTTAATGTCTCTTTGAGTTATTAACAGATTGAATTACACAGATTGTGCGTACAGAGCTAGCTCACCAATTGTTACAAATTTGTGCACAATATACAGGGTGTCAGACTCGTTAGTAGCCAAACTAAAAATTACGATAGATTGGGTTAAAGTGAGTAGAAAAGTCATGTACCGTTGTGCAAAATTAGCAATAGTTATCGCGTAATTGATAAAAACGTCTGGTCGAATGAACGCACAAGGAGCGGAAGGCCGGACCCGGCAGGCATGCAAAATGGTTTATTTGGTTTATATCTCCTACACACAGAAAAATATTATTGTACAGTCAAGAAAAGTAATTACTCAGTTTATTTTATTCCGTTTAAGTAATAGTTTGCTCCAACAAAGAATATTTTCTTAATAATAGTTTTAAGATAATACTTGTTATTAGTCTTAGAAAAGCTTGCCATCTTATACTCAAAGAAAGAATTTATTCTTCTTTGAAGAAAATTAGAAAACTTATGGAAGAATTCCGTATGCTTCTTTTAATAAAGTCAGAAGAAACAAAATTGTTTTGCTTCAAATAATTCTATGTATTCTTGTTTCAAGTACTAGACTTACTAAGAACCAGAATATATTTTGAGTAAATATCACACTTGCGACGACATTATGATAGATTTGCGGATATATAAACTTATCAAATACTTGGAACAATTAATATTTACTTGCAGGTAGTATATATTTTTCTGTGTGTAGGACACAGTAGGGAGAGGTGGAGTCACGCATTGAATGACGAGCGACGTAACTATTGCTAATTTTGCACAACGGTACGTGACTTTTCTTCTCAGTTTAACCCAATCTACCGTAATTTTTAGGTTGGCTACAAACGAGCTGACACCCTGTATAAAGAAGCTTAACGATTAAACAAGTGTGTTAAAAAATAAAGAGACTATGTTGAAAAATTATATTATTTTAAGTACTCTAATTTTATTTACATAAAATCTACAGCTGCATTGTGAATAATTTTTTACCCTCGTACGTCGCTTTCAAGTTTTCCGAATTTTGAGAAGAAAATAATTTGACCAGTTTTTTAAAATACAATCGCAAAACGGTTAATGGCATTTGAAAGAAAATTGTTTGTACTTTTGTATTTTGTTTTTAATTTTGTATCTCAAAGGGTTCAAAACAGCGTTTTTCAGTTTTTACATATTTATAAAAATAATCCATATAAATAATAAAAATAAACAATAACAACTGAAACAGAACTGATACGAATCTAATACAATTAATTGAAGATGCCATTTTTTTATCAAGCTAAATCTTTAGTAGAACGAAATAAATATTTTGTTGCTGCTTTATTTATCGATCTTAAAAGACACCTTTTGTTGGAACAGTAAATCTACATACTTTAAGTCGTTTAATCGACAAATAATCGGTGCGCAGTTTTTAAGGTTGAAAAAGTATAAAAAATTTAATCAGAAATATTGTTATTAGGCTGCCAAGATGTAGCCCAATCGAAAAATGGCATATTCCTCAGTCAATTGTAAAAAGAATTAACTAAAATAAAATTTACACATCTAGACCAATTTTATCTAAGGTGGCTTCTGCATAAACCAGCCAAAAGTAGAAAACATTGTAATTTAAATATTTTGTAGTTGCAAGTTTTATCTATTACCTAGTAGAAAATTACGCGAAATTTTTAGAGCCGGTCACCAATGAAATAAAAGAAAGAAAAATATTTTAAACTTATTCTTTTTAACATAGGGGTTATAGGTCGATCACTCGCAGAAGCACTTTTAGCACTTAATATTATTTCATAGAAAAAGAGTAGATCTTAACAAAAATGAGATTAATATAATAAATGTCATAAGGATTCCAATGCGCTATTATTGTATACATATATGTATATGAGGTTACCTCTGCAAACAAATACTTATTAGTAAAGTCAAAAAAATGTTTTGAGAAAATCTTACAGCTGTTTGAAATTTGAAAACGTCACATATTTTGAAATGTCCATATACAGAATGGGCGATTTTAATGTCCCACCCAAAATATTTAATTTCCTACGTCTTTTACAAAAAACATTTCCAACAAATGGTTGGTCCAACAATTGAGGTTGTTTGACCTCAAGGGGGATATAAGAGAGCGGTATCAATTTGTTTGCTAATGGCGCCACTTTAGAGATTTCATCATGGCGGTTATTTTTTTAAATGGAAGTCGATTTTTTCTCGAAATGAAAGTTGTAGCTGACGAAACGAATGCAACGATTTTTGTTCTTTAAAATTGGATAATTTTTCACTGAATTTTCACCGTAACATCGGGCCGATCTTATCATTTAGATATTATGCCGACGTCGGCGCGATGTTACAGCCGGTGCTGGGCCGACAGTGTCGCAAGTTGGCAACCGATGTTGGCCCGATACTGGCCCATTTCTAAAACCGTACCTGGGACAGGCTTGAGGTCAAACAACTTTTGTAGGAAATATTTTTGTAAAAGGCGTAGAAAATAAAATATTTGAGGTGAAACATTAAAATAACCCACCCTGTATAACCTAGTATATCAATGAATTTGATCAATAATGCATTAAGTGATAGTTTTTTTATGAAAAAAGTTACATGAATTTATAAAAATAAAAAAGACCCCACCAAAGCACCCATACTATTCGCTCTTTCGTGCAGGAGTCACCTTAAAATAAGACATTCAAAGGATTAATTCTCAAACGTTTTGCTTATCTTTGAATACCTTATTTCCGTAGTAGGATCTGGCTTTCTGATAGTTAAAGCGACCACCGATCCGCCAGGTCGATGCAATAATTGAGCCGCTTGCCTCAAGTCTCCAGGGTCCAGTTTTTGTCCGTCTATCGCAAGCAACCTGTCTCCAGACGCTAAACTGCCAGTTCGATAAGCGAGCGATCCTCGACGGACCTCTGTGATTATTAAATCCTCGTTTACCGTGAGACCTAGATCGGGCTGGCCGCCTAATGGCCTAGCCACTCTCACCGTAAAAATTCCAGAACTCGGCACCACCGATCCACCCACTTTGTATTCTATCACTAACTCGATCTAATCGTGTTAAACATACAAAAAATAATTAATAAGAAGACATTTTGTTCCATTCACTTCTGGAAATATTTTTCTACGAAAACTCGAAGAAAGACATTTACCATCTGCGATGTCTCCAATATATTGATTACTTCTGACGGTTGCAAATCACGCAACATTCTCCGATTAATCGCTATGGCCTTATCACCAGGCAAAAGGATGCCGCTTCGTTCTGCCGGACCACCAGCTTCCAGCAAGCTCACTGTATAATTCATGTGATCTTCGGCCAATTTGAGCGCAAGACCAAAACCGCGATGATCAGGCCGGAGAACAATCGTCAAGCTCTCTTTCATCTGCAGAGTTTGATTTGAGTTTTGCTGGGCCTGCGGCTGTGCCTTTCGTTTGACCGTTCTCGCGCTGGGTGGTCGCGGTAATATCTGCAGTCTGGCAATACGACAACTCTCGGAATTATTTCTAAGCAGTTTGGCGGCGGTCATAGCATCCTGAACAGACGTATCGTCCACAGCTAACAGTCGATCCCCTGCCTGCAATACACCACACCGATCCGCGGTGCTTGCCGGACGAAGGCTGTCAATGTAGACACCAGTTGATGTTTCTCTCACAGTTAAACCAAGCTCTCCTGAGAATGTCCAATTTATACATAATTTAATTTAATAGGTATAATAAACAAAAATATACAAAAATGTCGGACTCTCGATATTGATACTTAATTAACAAGGAAATAAGATATTGAGAGTTAAAGAAGCGGATCTTGAGGTTCGTCAAATTTTGCAATTATTATAGTCGATCAGACGTTTTGGCGGTTTCGGTTATGTTTATAACCATCTTCAGCGTAAAAACTCATTCTCCTCAGCGAGAAATGACTTGTCGATCGACGTCGAAACGAAGTCGAATCGACGTCAATATGACGGTTTCGATGTCGATACGATATCGTTTCAACGTTAATCGACAAGTCATTTCTGATGACGTGCTTAGTTGTGTTCCTGGTGATGTAAGTGTTCGACAGTTAACAAATGATAAGGTTCCATAAAGCTTGGTTACTCGATTACAGTCTATAATTAAGTTGAGAACATTGATTGATGCGTGTTCTTAAAATTCGACATCGTTTCGACGATTCATTTCTCACTGGGTCTAAAGCTGAATTCGTCTTTTTTTGTTTTGCTTTAAACCCAAAATTGTATTTTAATGACAATTTGCATACATGTATGACGTCCCAGGGGACGTTAGAATATTATTATTCCTTCTTTCTCCGCGACCCGCGACTCCTTTTAACCTAAGTATTTTATAATTCGACGTTATAAAAGATTGACTCTGAAGAGTTGTACGTCCAGTTATTATTCTTTCGCATACCAAGATTAGACCGGTCAATCTGATTACACTTCCGCGAAGCGGTATCGCAGGCCCTATAAACACCGCGCGGCAGCTAGCCTTTGAGATTTTCGCCGACACCTCGCCCTTCTCCCAAAAAATTCCGTAGGCAACGGGGGCAGATCGTCATCAAAGCGACGCAATCGCGTCACTCATAGTCGTGACATCGAAGTGTACAGACAGGCGAACAGGCAAGGTACTTGGCTTACTATCGATTCCAGAAGTTATAGACGAGGGAAGGACAAGTCAAATTTCAAGGAAGGAAATAACCAACAATATCGAATTCAGAAGGAAAAATATAAAATATCAAGGATTTAGACGATCTGCCCTGGTTGTTAAAGCATTGTAAGTCAATAATTTTGACGTTTTTCTATTATATTGATTATTCTTGACTATATTAATACTAAATTACTTGTAACCATATAATCAATTTTTGCTAGCTGTTAGTCACATTATCAATATTCGATTTTTCTTCATTTGTATTTTCAATTATCTCATTTGTGTACTTACCATAATCTTAATTTTCATCATTATTATCAATTTACTATTTTATTACTGATTCCCTGTATTAATTAATTTTATATTAACTTTCTGTATCATTGATTTTATATTGACTTTCTGTATCATTGATTTTATATTGACTTTCTGTATCATTGATTTTATATTGACTTTCTGTATTATTGATTTTATATTGACTTTCTGTATTATTAATTTTATATTGACTTTCTGTATCATTGATTTTATATTGACTTTCTGTGTTAATGATTTTATATTAACTTTCTGTATTATCGAATTTATTTACTGATTTTCTGTATTATTTACTCTATATTGATTGATTGTATTATTTACTTCCATCGTTTTCGACATGGTACATTATAATAATCATTAAATCCAATTCAATTTTACTCTATCCCTCGATTTGTTATTGCCCTCCAATGCTCTCACTATCCCAGACTAATACCGGTGTAGGCAGGTAGGCCCAAAAATAGAGAGCAATTTACCGTTCAGTTAGACCGAGGTCTAGCAGGACATAATACATGTATGTATACCTATCAACCACAGATTTGAGACTATTAATTGAAAATGTCTACTATATGAAATAAAATCAGACTTGTGCATTGCAACTTAATATATTTTTTATTATGTTATTCATTATTTTATAATAAAAGAAAAAATAATCTAAAATATTTAAAAGTTCTATAAAAAATTATTTAGAAGATGAAAAAGCATTAGACATTAAAGAATATTAGAAACTTTTTCACTAAAGCAGCCATATTTAATTACTCTTTTTTACTAATTTAGGTTATCTAACTGCGTGTTTATTTATTCCCTTAACAAAAAGTAACGAAGTAATTACTAGAAAATTACTGTATATCAGTAATTGAATCATTAGAAATTACTGATGTACAGTAATTTTCTAGTAATTATTTCGTTGTTTTTCTGTAAGGGTTTTTTTTCAGAAGACTCTTATGCATTTTCTTGGAATTAAACAATGCTATTTTAACTGTGCTAAATACGTACAATTCCTTAGCTAAAAGTTATTAAGTAAAAAATTACCAAGAGGTTGGAAAAATTGGTCCTGATTCTAGAACTCTAATTTTCTTATTTATATCTAATATTTATCTAATATTTCTTATTTCTCCGTTGTGCGCAGATCTTACCTGATAAATACTATACTTACACTGCTTGACATATGATTTCACCTTTTAAAATAATTTTAAAAAATCGTACTTTTATATACATACGATGTCTCACTAGAATATTTTTAAATTTTATATGTCATTTGAAATTTTTGACTAGCAGCGTAGATAGGGGATAAATAGATGAATTAAAAAATTTTAATCAGTATCAAGAAATTATTTTGAAAGGTGAAATCATATGCCAAGCAGTGTAAGTATAGTGTTTATCAGGTAAGATCTGCGCACAACGGAGAAATAAGAAATATTAGATAAATATTAGATATAAATAAGAAAATTAGAGTTCTAGAATCAGGACCAATTTTTCCAACCTCTTGGTAATTTTAAGCTAATTATAATAGTTCAATTAAATGTCTTTGTCTAATTTGAAGGAAAAAAAGACACATAATTTAACTATTAGTTAACTTACCAAGAGATTAAAACATAGGGCCCTCAATCTTCTTAATAAATATCACAGATAAATTATATATTATGTTGTATCTATAAAATATATTATTTATGTCCTATTTGTATCCATTGTGCGTTATGTTTAATTTGAATTTCTAATATTTAATTTTTATTCCTAATATTTAACATTTATCGTTGTTTCTCGATAACATCTTGAGGAAACGAAGGAGAGCTTGCTTATTGTCACCAGTAATGATTAGAAATTTAGACGGGAAACTAATAGTCAGCCCAACTGGCTAATTATTTAATCGATTTATTACACAACGTTTCGACCCTATTTTTTGGGTCCTTTTCGAGTGATACTGCAAATGAACAACAACAATGCAGTTATGAACAATGTAGGATAATAAATAAAAAGGAATTAGTTAAATAGTTAAAAGTTCAGTAACGCACCTGAGTCAATCATCGTCGTCGAATAAGACAGAGTCGAGTTATAAAATATATGTATACGTGTGAGCACTGTGGTAGTTGGGTTCGAACTAATTTATTAGTCATGTCTTAAGAACAATACAAGGTCATGCGAACTAAACAGTTTTGATTACACAGTTATACATTTCATTTAAGTTTTCAGTGTCTGTTTGTAAATTAAGAGTGTTATCGGTCTTTTTAATATAAAACATTTCAGTGATTTTTCTTTTTCTTCTAACGCGCTCGCAATGTAAAATTTTTGGTTCCGACCAATTAAACTCGTGATCATGTAATGCACGGTGTTTGCTGACTACAGAGTGGCAGCTTTCGTCTTTTTTTGTCATTTTTATGTTCTTTGATTCTGGTCAGAAGGTGTCGTTTGGTTTGCCCAATGTAAGAGACTTCACAGTCATTGCAATTAATACGGTACATGACTTCGGTTTTTTTGTCCCAATTTACTTGATCTTTGCCTCTTTTAATAATTTTGTCTAATTTTTTTGGGACAGTGTAGATGGTGTTTAGACCTGTTTTTTCAAATTTGTGCTAATTTTGTCTGTCAGTCCTTTAATATAGGGGAGAATAATGCTTATTTTAGGGTCAAAGATTTTTTTATTATTAGCGTTCGTGCAGTCAGTAAGTATGGTATCCCGTCTTTTCAGTTCGTTCAGTTTAGTATTTACGTGTTTGTTAATGATTTTATTAGGGAAGGAGTTATTGATTAAAATGTTCTTAACAAGATCTATGTATATTTTGTTTCCAGTATTTTTTGTCAGAAAGTAAAATTGCGTGGTTAGCTAAGTTAATAATGGTGTTAATTTTTATTTGGGTGGGTTAATATTTAAGTGGGTGGCTAGAGTAGTAATTAACGTATCGTCCAGAGAAGGTAGGTTTTTGGTACCAATTTGTCAAGATCTTGTTATTGTTGTCTTTAATAAGTGTCACGTCAAGAAACGGGATGGAGTTGTGTGATTCGGTTTCATAAGTGAATCTCAATCGTAGATGGTAATTGTTAAATATAGAGAGAACAAAGTCAATCTTGGTCTTAGGTAGAACAGTGAGAATGTCATCCACGTATCTATAGAATATGGGAACATCAAATCTCAGTTTCTGCAGACAAGCTGTCTCCAGGTCTTCTATTACCATGTCTGCCAATATAGTTGACAAAGGAGACCCCCATGGGGCTTCCGAAGATCTGCTCATAGAACTGTCCGTCAAACTTAAAACTAGTGGAATTTAGAATTAATTCAACAGCATATAAGAACTGTGGTAAGCTAAGTAATCTATTGGGTGAAATGTCACTCCAACGTTTTTTAATAGCTCCAATCACAAGTTCTTTCGGGAGCGGGGGGCGGACCGGAAGGAATGACTCTGTCAATGCCCGACCGCCCCCCCCCCCCAAAGTCAAAGCACCGCGCAGGCCACCGCAGGAGTTTAGTGGGTAAGCTCGCGCGCCAAACAACATCTCGGCGCGCACCTCGTTGAGGGGCAGTCCCACATAACCCGGGTTAAGTTAACAAAACCCCCTCCCAGGGGGGTCCCGGGTATCCATAAAGGATTCACCTGCGTTAACAAAAAAAAAGTTCTTTCGGGATGTTAGTGAAGAGTGAAGTGACGTCCAGTGATACAAGCAGATCCCCAGAAGAACGTTACTGAACTTTTAACTATTTAATTAAATCCTTTTTATTTATTAACCTACATTGTTCATAACTGCGTTGTTGTTGTTGTTGTTGATTTGCAGTATCACTCGAAAAAGACCCAAAAAACCAGGGTCGAAACGTTGTGTAATAAATCGATTAAATAATTAGCCAGTTGGGTTGACTATTAGTTTCCCGTCTCAATCTTGAGGAGACTTATGAATTTGTACGATTACTAGGTTGATAAGTACTTTCCATGACAATCGCTTTATGCCTCTGGTTACTATTAAAGTTAATATTTATAGCCTTTGAAACACTAGATAAATAAGTAAACGAAAGCTTTTACATCTGAAGGAGAAGTACTATACCTGAAAGGCCACGTTCCAATTGAACAAGCAATGGACCCGAAGTGGCCGCTCGTGCCTCCTCCATATTCGCGACGTCATATTCAATGGTAAGAGACGCAATCGGTGTGTCCGAGCTCCTTCTAAGCGCGCGTTGTGCCTCAGCCAAGGTAAGTCCGCGTAGCTCGGTATCGTCCACAGCCAGCAATCGGTCACCGGGCCTAACTCTACCCTCTTTAGCGGCCGGACCGTCTGCTTTCACCCCCGTCACCACCAGAGCCCTCGACATCCCTCCGCGAAGAGTCACACCGAGACTACCATCCTCACGTTCCACTCGTACCTGCGCAACTTTTGATGAGACGCCGGAAAGCGGCGATAGCGTGCCGATAATACTTGTCTCTTGGTCATCTGGCAACAAGAAGCTATGAGGATGGTATTGTGTCTGCGTGAGCGTCTCCTCCGTTCTCGTTGAGTCAGAGCTCGCGGACGTGGCGACGCTTCCGGGCCTAGTTCGGCTTTTGTGCGAGCGCATCGTCGCCAATCTCAACGAACTGAACATCTTCGTCAACCTTTAGTCTAAAATTCCGTGACTCAATATATTAAATATGTCCAAAAATTAAACCAGCGAAATGATTATCATTTCGAGAACATTATTTTCGCAAAAAAAAAGAAGACTATCTCTCACTAATAATCCCACTTGCAATTCTTCTCCTTCCTTTGTTTACAACGTTACACATGTGGAGACTGTAGATCAGTCCAATTGTTTAAAACAAGTAATAAATCACGAATCACTTACAGTTAAAGCAAATCGTGCAAGAACTCTTCTTTTCTCACAGCGACATCCTGCATCCTCACTGAATTACATTAACAAAATACGAATATTTCATATTACACTGTACCTATACACATGTCGTTATACTGTTCTTCAGATTAAAACAAAGGGTTAAAGAAAGATATTTAATATACAATGCATGACTCCTTATCCCATAACATTCGATAATAAATTCACCAAAGCTGATATATTTGTAGGAATAAAACATATATGCTTGTGTATACGTATGTGTGTGTGTGTGCACGTATGTGTTCTTAGTCTCATAAATGTGTCGGTTTTGGAAAATTTATTAGATATTGAAAGATACGGAAGCGCTCGTTAGTAAAACACGCGCGCTAGCGTGATGGTGCATCGAGTTCCCGGTTCAATTAGGAAAAACCAAAATCTCTCACTTACAAAACGAAAGAACAACGCAAATATGAGAAATCGAATTTTAACGGCATAATCAAGAATTATTTTTTCTCGCGTATTAAATTGATTACGGCCTCGATTTCTTTGTTCTAGTATAAGACGCAGCGCGTGAAACCGTCGCCGCTGTTCGTCGCGGCCGAAACCCCGTAGAACTGAATGCAGAACTGTAACGAGTCACGATACGGCTCTCAAAAATAACTCCTCCTATATAGGGCCGCATCTCCGCGCAGACGAGCGCGTTCTATTTATATGATCGATATCCACGGTTTTTGCTTTACGTGCGGAGATCGTGCGGCCCTGCGGAGATCGGATACCCCCCACAGTCGCCATAACGCCGAATGAGAGACCTATCCCAGATAGCAAATTGTCTGCATTATGCCAACATAACGCATTTACATCTGTTCATAGATGTGTCGGCATATTTGCAACAATTGAGTCGGCATATGAAGTGCACGTGAACAGCTTGGTTTGCCTAACACATTGTGACACACAACTTGTCGTTACAACATCAGCAAGCCTTGCCGGATTTATGTATGAGAGTAATGATCATATGAATATCCCTGGTAAAAATTCCGTTAAAAACGGATAGAACGTGGATTCTATCCGTTTCTGACTGCTCTACTATGCGTTTTTGGCCCTGCAATTACGGATAGAAGCAGATGAAAAATGTTGCAGAACCTATAAGATTATGTACGCAAAAACAGTAGGGAAATGCTAACTGCATCTAACTGATTCCTAATGAAATGGAACTTATCCGAATCTATGGGCAGACATAATTACGAATCCTATCCGTTCCTATACGCAGTCAGTTTTGAATGTCTATCCGCATCTAACTGCGGAACCAGACAGGATATATCTATCTGCATTTGTTCGTAACAGTGACGTCCGTTCTATCCGTTGCTTACTACAAATGCGTATACGTATCCTATTAGTTTCTTCCAAAAGACAAATCGAACCCAATCTATCAATTGAGTGCAATTAGAAGTTCGTTGGATCAGCCGTTGTTGAGAACCGAAAATCTGTGGGCCCGTCAACTCGCGTACTCGCGTAAACTTACACGGCGGTGTTGCGCGCTCGGTTCTAGCTAGCTTATACTTGGCGCGAGACACTACCGCGTCTCGTGATTCATATTTGAGTTGTCCCTGAACGCACATTATGTATATTATATACGAACATAAAAATTATACAAAAATGCTTTATTTATTCTTAAAAATTACCACAATTATCAGAAATAGACTATAATTTTGAAAATATATAGTGCTGATTAACCTTTAATAACTGGGTACAGTTGCACTTGTTATTTGTTGTAATTTTATTGTTAGACAATTCAATACGTACAGAGGCAATGCGATTTTCTATCAGCAATTACGTCTACGTATCGATTGCAACGAGTAAGTACAGGATGCGGACAGAAACCGATACGAATCATATTAATAATTGCAAACAGATTCCTAGAGGTCGACATTTGCATACAGACGCAGATGGATACGGTATCCGCAATTGCGGATAGATACCGTCAGCATCC